ATAATGCAAGACTTTCATAATAAGCTTGAGTGTTATATTTCGACTCTTCATTCAAATAAACGTGCAAAATATACAATAAGATACATAACGCATGATCAAATATTACAGGTGTTGAAATCCGATGATTATAAAGCACCTAGTGCAAAATTTAAATTTTGGGCGAAAGAACATTTTTATCTGGTTAAAATCGTTGATGTTGATGTGATTTACTCAACAAAACATAAACAACCAGTGGTAGTTATGAATAGTAGTGCAGATGACTGTCATACTGGTTCTCGTTCATTTAATTATAGATAAAAAATCATTACTCTCACATACCACAGGAGACAGTTAAACTATTTCTTGGCTTATGTGATGTATGTTAGTCGAAAAGTATTTTCGAAAGCACCTGCTGGAAAGCCTATTGTTTCCCTTGGTTTTATGACACGCATGCAAATTGACCTGCTGGACATGCGGAGTTCTGAAGCTGATGGATTTAATTGAATATTCCACGGGAAAGATCACTTTAAAAAATATTCATGGTTATTTCCAATCAAAACAAAAGAAGCGCAAAATGTTGCATTAATATTGCAATCAATATTTTATCAATTTGGACCTCCGCGGATTCTCCAGTCCGATAACGGACGGGAGTTCACAGCAAAAGTAATTTTGGATTTGAAAAAGACTTGGCCAGAGTAGTTATTGTTAATGGAAGACCTCGTCACCCGCAAAGTCAAGGGCTTGTAGAAAGGGGAAACGCAGTTGTACAACAGATGTTAGGAAAATGGATAGATACAAATAAAACGAGAAATTGGATTGGGGGTCTCGATATGTAGAGGAAAATTTTAGCTGAATAAAACCTTACTTGTGCGTTTCTTAATGAAGGTCGTGTGATGCTTGCAATTAATAGCAGTATGGCTAAATTAACTCAAAAGACACCTTTTGATGTAAAAACTGTTGACAAATTTGAATAAAAATAAGCACATACATATCCTAGTACTTTATGCAATTTCTTAGCATGAATTTAAATTCTGAACTCAACTACTCGTAGTCCAGTTTGTCAGTTCACATTGGAATTCTGATCTCATCCAGTTTGGTCTACAATTCTGACTTCAACTAATTCAGTTAGGCACCATTCGTATCACAACTAGTTGACATTAGAATTCCAATCTCAATCAGTTGAAATCAGAATTCTATTCTCACCTAGGCGAATTCCGAATTCCTCTAGATTCCGATAGATCTCAACTCCGACATGCATTTGTGAAAAAACGTGTGATGGAAAAAAGAAAAGACGATCAGTTCTGGTTTATTCACCTCTTCGAATTGGCATGCCCTCCCTAATCGTTCATGAATTCTTAGCGGATTTGTATTTTTATGCAAAACAAATGCTTTCATATACGTACATACAATGGATGTATCTGCATGACTGTTATTATTCATACAATTAAGATGGGGTGAAACACCTACATAAGCAAAGTCCGAGAAATCTCTGTTTTTATTACTGCTAAAATCAGATAAAAATGTTTCTTTTTCGTCATAACACTGCTACTGAACAAGTTAGAGAGAAAAGACCTTAATAAAAACAAAAAAGGAGAAGCAAAAATTTGTCTTTAATATGATCAAACTTTTATTATTTTAATAAACAGTCTTTTTATCTTTCAGCTTCGTTATTTCATCTGTTATCCATTCATTTTGTTTCCTTCTAGATGACTTTGGTTTGAAATACTTGCCTACGTTACTAATATTATATTCAACCAGAGATGTCATCAGGTAAATACGGCCCGTAATGGGATCCACTAGTTGAAATACTGTCGTAATACATAATACATAGTATCTGCTAACATACATAATACACAATGTACCCCGCATAATAGACGACCACCTGGTCGTGTAACTTATCCCGCAAGTCGAGCTCTAAAGGGTGGTCTTCTATTGCGGTCAAATTCTGTCGCCTGCCGGTAGCCCAATGGTAACTCCCACGTACCTGAAGGCCATCCCCTATTGGAAATACGTTTCGACGAAATTTTTTTGAAAATTCCCCTATAGGTAGGTAAACAAAATATAATTTTATTACAACCAAGCTCATTTCTCTCATTTTAAAGCCAATTAAATACACCGAGCTTGAATATCTCTTTTTCCGAGCTCATTTAATTTCGCATTTGTGCAAAAATTACAACAAAAATTAATAAAGTATACAAAACAAAATGACTGTTTTCAAGCATGTTATATCTATAAAGTGTATTTTTCTTCTTATTTGAGTCATATCTCTGAAACAACAATTGATCACGAGTTGATTTTTTCACAGATGTATATCCCGTTCTAAACAAATAAAACAAAAAAATTATCATAAAACCAGTTAAGCAAATCCTAAGATATAAGCCATTTAGTATTTCACATGCAGCGGTACAAGAGTTATGCAACTGACTCCAATACGTCTATATCCGTGAGTAGAGTGGTTAACAAATCAATAATAACTGACAGATGAGAAACGACAAGTAACACCTTATTAAATATATTAACATTGGTTTCATTTAGTTTCTGAAGTTTTAGTTTTTCATAAAACTAAAGAAAATGTCTAGTGTTTAGTTTTTGCTTAAAAGTCATTCCTAAAGGCGTTGTACAACTCCAAAGGTGAACTTTTCTAACATGTGCATGAAACCCTTGTTTGAATTAAGTTTTCCATCCGTTACAGATTAACCGTGCAGAAAGCAAGAGGTTTTCGTATTTAAGCCAGTATGAACTACGCTTACAACTATGTAGCAGTAGTTTTATATTCGCCTACATATTTCTCTACAAATTTTTATTTAGTTACGACTTATGATCGTACAACTAATAATTTAAATACAAACGATTATGAGCATTCGAACTTCGAATTTCCGACACTTCTTATTTGTAAACATCGAATTTTAGGTTGTTAATCACAAAATGCAGAAAGTTCTGTTATAACGTAAGATCTGAAGCGTATCTTTATGCACCACGTTTTCTTCTTTCTTTTGCAAACTTCTGTCCACCAACGCTTTCTTCTGATCATACAAGCTATCAGCACGTTTCAAGCAGAAACTCGTTTATGGCGGCCAAATATCCGTCGGCTGATGTAACTGAAAAAAATTATCGATGTCTCTTCAGTACAGAGCTGGAACCGGCTGAGAAAAGATAAACCGGTCCGGTCCGGTCGATCTGAAAGTGTAATCAGACCGGTCCGGCCGGTAAACAGACCAGTGAAGTTTTTTGAAAATCCATTTTCAGAAAGAATTTCTCCAGGAAATGAAGTAGTTTGCGAGCACGTGTGAGAGAATCTTCAGAATAACGAGTCTATGCTATTTAACCTTAAACAACAAGTAATGAAAATAATATGTCCTGAGCATCGTCTTATTTATTCTGACTGAAAAGACGTGAAATTTTAGTTTTTTTAAGAAAAAACAGGGTAAAAAGAGCAGATATTTAAAAACTTTCACCCGGTGAAATACCGATCTCTGCCGGCCCGGTTGACTTTCTCAAACGGTCCTGTCCGGGCGGACCGGTCCCAGCTCTGCTCCAGTGTTCACGATGCACTAGCACAAATGCTACGTCCAATACTATGAGAAACAGCCGCTGGTATGTATTATTATAAAGACGCAGTAAAACCGCTTCAGGAATCCGTTGATGACCACTAAATGCACTGATCGCAACGAAGAATAGTAAAAAGTCGGCTGACGGCTTGCCAACAGCGAAAGTACAGCAATTCACTTGGATACAAAGGAAGATATAAGTCTGTTTTCAATTCTCAATCGAACACTTCATACTGCTGATCGACGAAAGCCAGCAGCATGGTTTTCCTGTTTAAGATTATTTTTAACTGACCTCTACTAACTTCCATCGGTCAAACGAGTCGTTCGGAGGACTGTTCAACTATCTGCGTATTTCTTCCTCTTCCATTTTCCAGCATGTGAAGAAAAGAGGCGTAGCTTAAGAATAACTTGCAAGAAGATTTGAGTGATAAATTCGAAAAAGGCGACATCATCAATGGAGGTGTTGAAAAATTCAATGCGGCTAGGAACAACGGGTACAAGTATCCGTGTTATTGAACGTAGGTAGGATAAGAAAACGGTCGGGAGAGGAAAGGTTCATGACAAGAGTAGAACGAAGAACGAGATTTCATTCGTTGATAGTGGTTAACTTTTTGGAAAGCTTAAAAAGGATTTGTTGTAAATTGATTTGAACAAATATTCTTACACGTTAATTAAAACTATAAAAAGTGTTCAAGTAAACTCTGGCGAATGCCAACTTAAATTCTCGCTACTTCGGTAAGTCCAAGAAAATCTAAACCTCAAAACATTTTAAATCTCAGAAATTTGATCCTTTTGCATTTTACAACTCGACGTATAAAAACTTGTTTGTTCCCTGTGTATCAAAATTGTATATCGGTCACCTTGGGTTTTTAGTCGTACCAAAGATAAGTCTTTCGATTAATTGCTTTGTTGAATGGTCATAAAATTGAATTCTACAAATAAAAAGAGAACAAAAAATGCTAACAAAATTTGATCGAAAATAAGCGTCCTACTTGTGGAATCAAATTTCAGTTTTTTCCACGTTACTACCGGCTTAGTAACAGCTTCGACTGCTAATGTTCAACTTCGACAATTTTTGGCTCTCGGAGCAATGTACATTCTCAAATGAATTTAAAAAGAAATAATTTTACGCCGTTTCTAGTTTGACAGTTGGCAAAGAACGTTTTCTACACGTTTATATTTCGAAACATGCGTTTTTACCAGATACGGTTGTGCAACTTTATACCCAAGAAAATTAAAAGTGGAGTTATCTTGTGCAAATAGAAACGCTTCTATTGCTGAAAGATAAGAGTAACACGCACATGATGTATATAAAACCTGCGGTATCATTCATAGAAAAACGATGGTTGCACAATTTTCGATTTCATTATGAGTATGAACGTTCCACTTCTGCGTCAAAGTGGTTGCTTTTTACGTCCGCAACAGTTTGCTAAATCTTATAATAATGGTATGGCCTCTCGGTCACTATTCATAATGAAATGGCGTAATCTTTACCTATCGGATAGCAATAATGATCAGAATGTCACTCTTATTGTGGAATTAGCTGACAAAGGTATTGTACAAGAAGGCAGGACCATTAGTAAACTGGAAGAAGCAACGTTTTTGGCAGAAGAACTAATAGAATCAGCAAGACAGAGTAAAGATGAGCTGTACAAAGATATACTATCGATCTATACACGCGAATCATTTCTATATCGATTAGTGAATAAAGTATTACGCTCCTATGATTTGAGCAAATTGCAAACGTTGGGTCCGTTTTGTTATCTTTTAAATGAAGCATTGCGTAATCTTCCTGAAGAAACCCGGTATTTAGGTATCGTCTATCGTGGCGCTCAGCTAGATCCGGGACAAATTCAGACATATAAACGTATGATTAGAACAAAGAAAAATTGGCCACAATTTACATCGACGTCGAAATCACGTCAAAAAGCTGAACAATTTGGAAATGCTCTTTTCATAATAAATCTTGGTGGACGTTACGGCGGATATGGACGTGATGTTTCTCAATATTCAGCATTTCCAAATCAAGAAGAAGTCCTGCTGCCATGTTCAACGAATTTTTATGTTGAGAAGGTTGCATATGATTTGAAAAATAAAAAACATTTGATTTATATATTAGGAGGATATTGGTCAGTTAGACTGAAGAATATACAGGATCCATTTAAAACGTAAAAGACAATAGAATATCAGTTACGAGCCGACAGGAACAAGAAAAAGCACACAGATAACATCAAAAATGTTGTATATAGTTCAGTCCGGGTGAAAATAGGCTGAGCATTGTTGAGCAAACTATGTCACATGTCGCTGTTGAACAGATGAGCTATCGCCTAATCGCTCTCTCGAGTGATACAAGTGGATGATTTTCATAATCTTTTATCGACGAGATTTTTCGATTTACAGGTACTTCTGTGACATCCATGTAATGGGATGATGGTCTCACATGTGGTCATCACATGGTGATCTGGCACCAATGTCGACAATGGGTTTTTGATCGCTCACAAAAAAATTGCTGTACAGCCGTACTTTTGGAGATTTCTAGAAAAATCTCTGAAAACCAGTCAGAACCCAGACATTCTTGTGAAATGACACTAAGCACTTAAGGCCACGCGGCGGCATATAGTTTCGGCATCAAACTTTCGAATAAAAGTCGTGTTACGCTTGATCTAGGATTTTCAGTGTGTTTTTCGCAGTTTTTTATGCACTGGGTTCACCGTGACCATTGCATCCCCTCTCATAATAGATGACCACTGCTGACCATCACGTTTTCTTGCGGTGCATGACTGTTAATCAAAAATAGATTCAAGTTGGCGGCCAAAATAGAGTCGAGCCATGGTATTCCATTCTGAGGAGAGTTTTGTAGAGAACGCATTTTCCTCAGAAACTATCAACTGTTAAATGTTCGTTCATATATCATTCAATAAACTCGACTAGAAAATACATGAACCTGTTTTCGACTGTACAATAGTGACTATGGATAAAAAAAAATTTCAAAATACGCAACAATCAAGATATTTTGTGGAAAACTGCCTGCATATACAACCTACAAAATAACGAGCGGTACCTAAGTTTCTGCATAAACTTGTTTGGCATTTTCGTCAATACAATTTTAATCTTTTTCTTCAGATTTTCCATCGGAATGTAGCCCGTTTGAAGCCCTTTATTTGGTATTTCAATATCAAGAGTTCATCCAAAACTGATAAATGAGCAACATTTTCAAGTGAAGCCGCGACATGGACAAACAGGTTAAAAAGAATTATATCGTTGTTCTATCGTTTTTCATTGGTCTACTCGATTTCAAAATGTTATCTATCAAATTGGACATCGGAATGCTCATTAAACAACCATACTTCATAAAAAATCTTAAAATTTACTAGTCAGAATTCAAGACAGTAGGCAGACCTTTGGTACTAATTTTGAAGGATTTGATTTAGGAATTTTTAACGTTTTAGAATTTAAATCTGTCAGATTAACGCAACAACCATCAAAATGTGGAATGAAATAACACTCTCATCAAGCTCTAATTCTATATGATTTATTTCATTTCTCAACAACAAATTTAGCTAGAAGAAATATTTTTAGAATTATGGGCAAAATAGCTTCGAAAATAAACTTTTTGATTAGTTTTCAATAGCAAAATATGGTGTAAAACTTCTTTTATTACGTTTTGGTGTTAAGTCTTTACTCAGTGGGAATGCAGCACAAGTTGTCTCACAAGATCTTAGCAAGTCTTTTATCACCGTCTCAATGTCGTCAATTCCTGACGTTTATATATGAAATGAAAGATCTCGAACCAGACACATGTCGATGACAAAATAGATAGAAAATACCTTACTGAAGCGAGCAAAATATCAAAGAAGTTTGAGCCGAAATTTAGGATCCATCTGTTACCATATCATAGCAGAGTCGATAAATATTTGTGCCAAATTAGAAGACTTAATGATAGAGCAGAAGAGGTCTAGTGTCCAACAAGCGGTTTAAGGAAAGAATAGCGCAAAACGTTTAACGTCGAGAAGTCACAACGCATTCTGACACGCGATAACAGCACTTCTATTTATTCCCCTCATTACTTTAAATTTTAGTGCAAATTCCAAGAATTTCGATAACTCTTGTGTGAAAGAAGACAGTTTATGTATTTGACGTAATTTATTCGGTAAATTATTCCACATAGATGTTGAAGACGGAAAAAAGGATAGAGCTGAGTTTACTTTTTCTGTAAACTAACTTGATTTTCTTGTGATCGTTGGATCTGGTGTTATGGGATGAGTTATATAGCAGTTGTAAGCACTTACAGATAAGTAATGGTGCTTTTTTTATAAATAATTTTATGAAGATAGTCCAACTTTAGTATTTTGAATGTTACTTCGAACTTACTCCACCCTAAAAGTTTTCTTATTTTTATTTGGTTTGAAAAACGTAGTGCACCGCTCACTAGTAATGTATTATATTGCAATTGTTCCAGAGCAGAAATATTACACTGATTAATATATATATACATGAGCCATAAAAAATATCGTCTTCGATCAACTCCAATAGAAGAGAGTAGAAAAACCATTATATGTGTCGTCGTTGTTTCTGAGCATTTCATAATGTTAATGAACCGCATTGACAATGGATTGGATATAAATATATAAAACAAGTAGATGATAATTGATATCGATATTGTATATTCAGTAATTTTGATCTGATTTAGTTTTTTAAGAGTGCCCGTTGACGATGATAAAGATGATGCATAACGATCCAAGCAGACAAGTGTCGATAAACATGCTGAACTTTGACTTAAAGCATAAGCTAAATAATATATAATAATTTATAAAAAATATGTGATTTTATTTTAAACTATAGTTATAATCATCACCTAACAGCTGAAATAGCACAGTAAAATACAAATAACAGAAATTAACAATGGCTTGAGGAAAAAATATCTCGAACATAAATGAAGACGTAATGATCAACCAGCAACTACTAACAAATAAAATTTGTTACTAACAGTACTACCAGGAGGCATAATCCCACATTGATCAATCGCACAAAATCAAACGAGAATATTTTGTTTTGTTTATTTTATAGTGGCGATACTGTTCTGAGGATTCTTAGCATCTTATAAAAGTAATGATCTTGATCTTATATTTAATGACAAGCAATTGGCAGTTGAGTAACTTCCTTCTATTACTGGTATCACTTAGGGCATACCAAAAGTAGCAAGATTTGCAGGTAAAACCTCACAGACTAGAGGTGATTAAGTTTTCACTTCATCACGTACTTGAGCTAGTAGCCATGATTACCCACGCACAATAAATTGGTTTCGAGACATTTGCTAAAAGTTTTTTTCGAATCATCTTTGATTAAAAAACTGAGTATTTTGGTTATATGAAATATAAAAAGAAGAGTTGAAGTTTAAGGCCATACAAGCTATGATTATCACAGTTTGTGGAAACGACAAATATCGCATATCAGACAATATGAAGTGCCAAAATCTTGAGGTCAATGATATCGGATACAAGCTGTCATATCACAGTTCGGACGTGACCGATAGGACCATACGGACACGACGTACAGTGGCTCACGGACGCAACGAAGATCTAAGCCGCAATTTTGAGGTCCGTCCTATTGTGTAGACGCAGCTGTCTGGCACATAGGCAACATATTGAGGTTTACAGTATTACGTGTTGTGATATCACAGTTTACGGAGACGAGGAACAGAGTCTCACGAACACAACGAACTGTGTTATAGAGAAACGACTAATCATGTCTTACAGATAAATCTTTCTAGAGTTTGTCTGCTAGTTTTGGGAGATGTTTCACTTTTAGATCTTAAGGTCTACACTAACAAGCTTTTCCTCTCATTTCGATGGCTTTCTAGTTTTTGCTATCAAATGAATAAAAACTCGCCTCGACTGCTAATAGTCTTTTCGATTTGCTAAATAAGCTGCTAAATTCGCGAGAAAGAAAAGAGAATAAAAAGTAATTAACCCTCATCCGCCCACCTATAGGACTATCACTTGTTGCCCACCTGGGGTCCGTCCGGACCCCAAGTTGATAAAACAGGTTTAAAAATCACTGTTAAGACATGGAACATTTTTAATAACATATTCGGATTCAGCCTCGAATGATGAAT